TCCCTCCCACTTCTCCTCTTCCATTTCTTCTGAGTTTGTTTTTAAAAAGACTCAAATAAATGAGGTAGAGAGATTCCCAGAGACCCCGCCATTGCCTTCCCCCTCGGCTCTGTGCTGCCGCCTCCATCTCCCCCTCCGTCCCCAGAGGTGCCTGTAATAGCCCCTCCTGCCCCAGTGGTTGCCCCCCAGACCTTCTCGCCCCATTTTGCCCCAGGGAGGGGCTGTGCTGAGCCTGAGGATGCTGCTGTGAGAACAAGGCTGCTGCTGCTGAGCGTTGGCCGGTGGGTGCTCTCCATGGGCATTTTGGGGGCATTTTTAGCATCGCAAGCAGAGGAAGGCTGTGGCAGCTCTTCTCTGGATGAGAGATGGTGATCTCTCTTCCGAGGATGGAGGCTGTGGCTTGGTGGGCTGACCCCTTCCTCCTCGTACCCACACTTTCCCCTCCAAACGATGCTTCTGCAGGTAAGCAACCCTTCTCAGTGTCTGAGCCCGATGGCTGTGGTCCCCCGGCAGCCCCACCATGTTTCCCAGCTCCTGCCCCTTCATGGTATACAGCAGGACAGTGACGTTTGGCTGGAGGGGACCGAGGGATGGCTGAGCTTCAGCAAGTTCCTGCAGATAGACAGCGTCACGTGGCGGGGATTTGGCTCGGCTGGGAGCTGTCAGAAGTCCCCGTTTCCCATCCTGAGATTTGCTCGTTACAGTCTGTCCTTGTCTGGTTGCCAGCAGCCCGGCACGTTGGGTAGCACTACGTACGCCGTGCTGCTGCCTCCCTCCAGCCCTCCTCCCACCGAGCATCCCCGAGGGGCTTCGCCAGTGCCCATCGCTCCTCCTCCTCCTCACTGGGAGGTGGGAACACACGTGAGCTGAGAAGCGGGAGGTGACAGCCCAGCTTATCGCTTGCATCCTTCAAAATCCCTGATGTTTAGCAAGAATCGGAGGCCCTTCGGGGATTGCCGAAGCTGGGAGGTTTCTGGAGCGCCAGGCAGGTACGGCCTCCCAGGGCGCTGGTGCTGGCACCGTGCTGCGAGGAGACGGGACCAAGCGCTGAAGCATCTTGGGTAGCACGGGGATGAATTTTCAGTCCCGTGGAGGACATCAGGTTTTTTGGGACCACTGGCTTCTTGCAGGTGTTGAAGGGCACATAGAGAGAACCCTTGGGATCTTCTTGCTTAGCGTAGCTTCACTTGGACTCTTGTTCGCTCATAAAAATGCAGCCGAAACGTGCTCATCTGCTTTTGCCGTGCCTGACCCTCAAAGAGGGCTGTGGGGCTCCTCCTGCCCATCTCGTGGCATCATGCCATGTCCAGCCCTGAGGCCTCGGTGATAACGGGGCAGAGGATCTCAGCGGCTTTCAGGCTGCGGCTGCTAATCTTCCTCAACCTCCATATTGCACCGGTTACGGTGGGGCAGGCAGGGTGTAGCAATTAGAGCCAATTAGCCAGAGGCAAATTAAATCCCAGGCAGTTATCAGCGAGATGGAGAGAGAATGGGATAAACCCAGTGATGGGGTTTCCTGGGAACATCAGATCCTTCTCTGACATGGCCTGAGGTCGGGGACATTTCTGTCCTGGAGAATTGAACTGGTGCCGAGAAGCGTTTGCCCTCGACCAGAGGGAATTCTCTCGGCTTGGGCCACGCAGGAGCGCCGGAGCTGGCCCCGTTTCAGCAGGGCCATGCACCCCGTCGTCTGCACGGATGTGCGCCTGCCGTTATTAATAGTCCCTGTGCCCTCCTTGGGTGAACACGCTCATGCTCCTGCCCCTTGGAGGGAGCTGCAGGTCCGGGCAGCAGTTTGCCGGGTTTCCCCCTGGCAGAGCTGTGTCAGTGCTGCATTACGGGGCAGGAGCCTGCAGAGATTTCTCCTGCAATATCGCAGCCATCAGCACAAGCTCCCTGATGCTGTTAAGGCTGAGGTTTGAACAGCTCAGGGTGTGGTTCTCTGTCTATAAAATAACATTTGCTTTTTTTTTTTTTTAATCAAAACAGCTTTTGGAAAATAATCAGCTCTTGGGCTGCAGTGGCCTTGGCCCTGCGTCCTGCAAGAGCATCCCCCTTGCAGCGTCTTTTCACGTGGAATTTCCTGCCCACCTGCCTGTTTCCAGCTTCCCCTGTGCTGCAATGCCTGCGGCGAAGCACAAAGCTGCAGTGGCCACGGCCGCCTTGCGCCCGGCTGCGTTTTGTTCATGGGACACCCTGGGGCTTGTCTGTGTGTCCTTCAGTTGCTGTCGTGCTCACTCTTCCCTTTTCTGCCTTCTCGCTGCGTTGTTCAGAGCATCCCGCTGCAGAGATGCAGGAGGAGCGCTGCAGCTGCGGGCATCCTGTGGCTGGGTGGCTCTTCTGCAGGTTTGTCTTCTATTTGTTGCAGCTGGAGGTGACCAGCTCAGCTGCACACTGGCCTGTGGCACATGCAGGGTAAATTAAGCAAGGCTTTAGGAGCTGGTTGGTGAAAATCCCCTGCTGCTGCGGCTGCTCCAACGCGTTGTGGAATTGGGGCTATTGTAGGTGTTCCCACGAGGACGGGGGGTTCAGAGCGCGGGGAGGCTGTGCGTCCAGGCGGGGCGGGAGCGTCTTAACTTTGCAAAGCAATTCTCAGCCGTGGTGTCACGGAGAGACGCCTGCAGCACCTTGGAGACACTCCAAAGCTGTATGATTTACAGGATTTTTTTTTGCCCAGATGACGGAGGAGGCTTTTGCAGGCAGTAGATGGTGTGAGGCAAGCCCTTCTCAAGGGCAGGGCACGTTCCTTGCAGTGCCCTCCTGCACATCGGGATATACCCAGGCCCCATCCTGCCGCTCCCATGGACCTGCGGATCGGGCAGCGCGTCGTCAAGCCCGGCTCTGACACCACCTTGCTGGCCCTGAAGCACACGCAGCAGCTGCAGCACCAGCTCTTCCTCGCCAGCCTGCACCAGCAGCAAGTGGAGCAGCTCGCCCACCAGCACGTGAGGGTATGGGCAGCCTGGGGTGCCGGGGGGGACCAGCACCTGCTTTCGGCAGTGGCTGGGTGGGGACTGGGCACTTGAAAGAATTAATTTTGCCCGCAAAGCACGTAGCTCGCAGTGCCATGCCTGTCTGCCAGCAGTGCCCTGCGTCGGGGCTGAGTTTGCCCGAGCTCCTGGCTCTGGCAGGGGTTAAGAAGAAGAGGCTGGAAATCCTCATGCCAAAATAGCCTTCCCAGGTGAATTCCTTCTTTCGCCTGATCTGGAGAGCCTGTAGTGCTTTTTAGCCAGCCCGGAGACCTCTCTGACGCAAGGAGGCCGGTTAGGGAGTCAGGTGGGGGGGTTTCGTGTCTTATTTTCAGGCCAAATCTCCATCCTGCCAAGGCCAGCGGGAGGGCTGGGGCCTCCTGGGATGTGCGAAGTGGGGAAATGTTTTCAGCCGCATACCATGTGTGCTGAGCGAGGAGCCAGAGCGACTGGACAGGATGCCTGGTGTCTGTGATCTGCCACTCCGCTTGGCCACCACTGTTTCTCTGCCCTAAAGGCACGGCTTACTCACTTTACAAGCTAATTTGCTTTTCTGGGAAGTCTTCACTGAAATTCTCTGGTGTCACTCGGAATAGCACCCCTGCCCTGCGCAGCCTCTGCTGCCAGACTCTGCATTGTCCCAAAATTACAACGAGATTTAATTTGGATAGTCCCTCTGGAGGCCCTCGCTGAGAGCAGGGGTGACTGCAGAGGTAGGGCAGGTTGTGGAGGGTGACATCCAGGCGAGCTGTGACCATCTCTAAGCACAGAGATCACCCCCTGCCTGTCCCAGTTGCAGGGCAGCCCCACTCTCATGGCAGGAATCAGTTCCCTGTATCCAGATGGGATTTCCCTCATGGCACGTCTGTCCCGTTGGCGCTCATCCTTTTGCTGCGCTTCTCGGAGGAGCCTGGCTCCATCTGCTCCGTGACCCCCTTTGGGTGGTGGAAGAGGCAGTGGTGCCCCCTCGCCTCCAGAGTAGACAAGCTCAGCCTCGTTTGCTTCTCTCGCGTCCCATGTGCTCTGCTCCCGGGCACCAGCCCCACTCTCGGTGCCTGGCATGGGCTCACTGGTCCCAGTAACCTTGTCTGGAAGCCTTGGTGGAATCACACTGAGACTTTCTGGGAGAGGCTGAGCATCGGCTTGGTCCACACAAGGAGAATTTGAGATGCTGCTGCTGCCACAGCTGATGGGTGCTTACAGGCATTTGTGCAGACGTGATGCTTTCTGACCACCCTGTGAGATGGGATTGTCTCTGAAAACCTCAGCTCTGGAAAACACCAAGATCCAAACTTTTAAGACCAGTAGAATATTTTTTTTCTTTTTTTCTCTTTTTAGTCAGCTATGATTTTTATTTTTTGTTGTATTACAACATACCCTAACTACAGATATGTCAAAACACCATGAAAGGCAGCAAGTTGAAACAGACTGGTTTGAGTTTTACAGTGTCCCTGGGGAGAGAGTCTCTGGAGACAAAGATGCGTCCGGTTTGCTGTGATGAAACCACTTGACATGTTCTTGTCGGCCAGGGCTGCCCATCAGGTTTCCAAAAATGACATAACGGACTGTTTCAGACGTGCTCCATCACTGTGTGTGTTGTGCCTTGGGCTCAGGGAGGGTGGTAAGAGGGCTTCAGGCTGCGTGGGGTGAGGCTGGTGTCTCCTGGTGCTGATGTTGTGCCTCTATTCTTGCAGGTGACCATGGAGTCCCCGCACCGCGAAGCTGAGCCCGGGCAACAGGAGCAGGAGCTGCGGCAGATCCTCAACAAGGACAAGAGCAAGCGAAGTAAGAGCCTCCGTGTGTCTGCCGGTGTGTGGCACCAGGTGCCGCATCCCTGCCCGAGGAGCCGTGTCCCCGAAACCGGGCAGCTTGGCTCTCAGAGGGAGTGAGATCAAAGTGGCTTTTAGAAGGGGGTTCACCAGGTGGTTCTGCCCTTATCCAGCCCAAACTCTGCCTTCTCTTGGTCTAAAGGCGTGTGAGAGCATCCACGCCGAGAGATTTTTTGGCCCTGGCCTGGCTGATGTTTCTCCTTTGAGTCCTTCCAAGTGATGGCAACCAGGTGGTCACAATAGATCTCCATGCTAACGTTGTGTTGTGTCCTACAGCCACCACAGCGGTGCCACCCGAGCTGACGGGGCTTGTGACTGCCCAGTGCACTGGGCAGGGGGTGAATTTGCCCCTTGAACTTGCCAGCCCCAGGCTGGAGCACCCGTGGCAGTGGGGAGAGGTTAATGGGTCCCCCCGTGCTGGGCAGAAATGTTTGCAAACCCTGTCCGGCTGCGATCTCCCTGCGCCATCTAGTGCCAGTCGCTGCAGGGAGCTCACTCTGAGCTTTGGGATGTGCAGAGGCCTGCATCACCACCCAAAGATGCAGCTGCAGCATGCAGCGGATGCGCTGTGCCCGTCCCAGTGTCCGTGAGCCTGCTGCCCACCCGCCCGTCCAGTCTGAGCTCCGTTGGGATGCTGATATTTTCTCTTAGCTCCCAAATGGCTGCGGAGCAGTGGCTGCTCTGCTGCGGTTCACAGCGTTGGTGGGGCTAATTGCAATGCTGAAAAGACAGTGCCTGCCCTTTCCCTGCCATTCCTCAGCAAACAGCTCCTGCAAACACAGTCAGCTCAGTACGGCTGAGCGTGACAGCCTACACATGGCCCCTTTATGCAATCTGGGAGTTAATCATACCAATTAATTAAGTAACTTGTGCTCAGAGGTGCCGAATGCTGACACGGAAGCGTGGAGCACCCCCATTGTACCCACAGAGCATCCCTGCTGGAACAGACGGATGGGGATATGGCCTGGCAGGGGTGGGAGCACGGGAATGGGCCCCAGTCTGAGGTGGGAAAGCACACAGGAGGCTCGGGGCAGCCGGGGGCTGGCGATGGCAGCACCCTGCAGCAGTCAGACCTCTGCGTGGGGGTGTTTCACCACCGCGGTGGAGCCAGGTGTTGAACGTGGGTCGCTGCTGTTTGTTTGCCAGCAGGTTGTGGTAAGTCTCTTGCTCTTCTGGAAGAGCACAGCTCCATCAAGAGATTCAGCAGCCTCGAAGCTGTCTCCTGAACTGTTTGGAGGTGCTTTCTTTTTCCTGCTGTCTCTCATGCAAGCCATCCCCAACTGGGGGCAGAGCGTGGCTGCGTGGGGAGCTGAGGTGCAGGACGGGCAGAGCTGTGTGTCGTCAACTGGAAATGATCAGTGTGTAACACAGGCTCGAAGAGCCCCAGGGCACAGTGTCTCTGAAGAGGCTTCAGAAGGTTCCCAGGCACCCGTGGGAGTTTTGTCCCTGCTGTACAAGCCACGTTGTGCTTTCATGCCCTCATTATTCCATGGCTGTCAGCTTATACCTGCTCTCTCTGGCTCAGGTGAAGCAGGCAGATCTGCAGCTGAGATTCGCCTCTGGCCATGCTCCACCTCTCACCAGCCGCTCAGCGAAGCGCACACAAAAAGATCGGGCTCCTGAGATGTTGTGGGATGAGGGTGGGACAGGGATGCTCCCCTGACCATCTGGGAAACTCCGGTTGTCCCAGCTGGCCTTTCTCTCCTTGAGCCAACCTTGACCTGAGAACTGCACCAAACACCTCCACAGGGTTTTGTCAGCGTCTGTGTGCTTGTAGGGCGTCTCCAGCCATCCTGGCATTACTTGTGCAGCCATGGGGAAGCTCTGGGGCCGTGCTCATGTCTGCAGGGATCCTTTAAAGTGCTCTGTGTTGGCTCTCAGCCCTGTGTGGTCACTGCTGGTCTTTCTGCAGGTGCTGTGGCCAGCACAGTGGTGAAACAGAAGCTGGCTGAGGTCATCCTGAAGAAGCAGCAGGCAGCTTTGGAGAGGACCAGCAACCCCAACCCTTCAGCCATGCCATACAGGTAAAACAAGGGCATCCTCTGGCCTGCCTCAAGCCAAACACATGCTCAGGACCCAGAAAAGGTGGCTATATTTCTTGGGCAAGATCTTGCCATTATCTTCTGCTTCCTGGTCTTCAGAAATACTGTTTAGTTAATGCCTGTGGATGAAGGTCCCATATTGTTTTCCCTGACCTTGCTGCACTGTGATGGCTTGTCCAACTCCAGACCTAAAAAGTACTGTTAGGCTTCTTGTCTTTTGTTCCAAGACAAGGCAGATCCAGCAGCTGAATCCCTTCTGTAGGTGTTTGTAGTAGTGGACAGGACAAGCCTTTCTGGCCACTGGCAGAGCAGCTATCACATGCCTGGCAAAGGCAATGCCCCATGGGCCACCCTTGTGTTGGAGGGTGTCGCATGGATGGCCCGTGGCCACCAGCTGGGAAAGGTGTCTAACAAGGTGGCTTCTCCCTGTAGGTCTCTGGAGCCTCTGGATCCTGAGGGCCCTTCCCCTCCTGTGCTCAGCACCTTCCTGCCCCCTGTCCCCAGCACTTCTCTTGACCCCCCAGAGCATTTTCCGCTGCGGAAGACGGGTAAGGCCTTGGGGATAATGCCATCTCCCTCCTGCCATGATGCCCTCGCAGCCTGCTCGCAGGGCATGGCTGGAGCTGAGAAGCAGGGTGACCTGTCCCCACATAACCAGTCCAGCTTTGCCCCCATCGTCAGTGGGGCCGGGACTAACTACCTGCCTTGTCTGCTTGCAGCGTCTGAGCCCAACCTGAAGGTGCGTTGCAAGCCCAGGAAGTGCCTTGACCGACGCAAGAACCCCCTGATGCGGAAGGAGAGCGCTCCCCCCTCGCTTAAGAGACGGCCGCCCGAGGCGATCGGTGAGGGTTTCAGCTGGACGATGATACCTCGGGTGTTTGGAGAGACCTTGGGGCCAGGCTGGAGCCATTAAGGTCTGCCCAGGTTCCTGTACCACGTCTGCCTGGGGGCCATGACTCCAAGGCTTCGCCTGTGCTGCTTTTCAGTCCCGTAATGGGCCTACAGGGCTGGAAAGGTCTAAGGTCCTGAGCAAATGCAGCTGGTCAGGCTTGCTCACCGTGGTGTGGTGCCTCCCACTCTGGCAGGATGGCTCCGTCTCCACTGCGCCACATGCCCAAAGGGAGGTTTGACTGAGGAGGGTTGGTGGCAGCTGTCAGAGGGAGGGAGGGCTGTGAAGGGCTGGAGCAGGAGCTGTGCAGCCCGTCTCTGGATGCTTGTGCCCATCAGCCCCATTTCTCTTCCTTGTGCAGACTCCTCCCCGAGCAGTAGCAGCACCCCGGTGTCCGGCTGCAGCTCTCCCAACGACAGCCTCCCCGCTGAGCACGGAGCCCTCCCCACTGCCTCCGGCATGGCCCACGAGGTGAGCTCCGACGGCCTCGCAGGGTTGGGGCTTCCTGACCCCAGGGTTGGGTGCCCTGATCTCCCACTCCCATCCTAGGCTCAGGCGAAGGTAGCGCCCGCCCCCAGGGACCCCAGCCCTGAACCCTGCTGCCCAGGAACTGCCCTTAGCCCTGTTCTCCCTGCACGGTGGGATGCTCTGCCCGGCCCAGCGCTGCTCCTGACATGCTGCCCTCCTTCGCAGTGTGCATTTCTTGTCTCTTAGTGTATGTGCTGTCCCCACGGGTCCCTGATGCCCCTTGCCTTGGCCCCAGGTGTCCCCCCTGGGTAGCTGGGGCTCAGCCACCCTCTTCTGCTGCCTGGCCCGTGCCCGAGCTGTTTGTCCCATGCTGAGCTCTGCCGCTGCTGGAGCAAGAGACTAATGAATTGTGTTTGGTGCAGACACCCCTGGCCCAGCGCCTGATGATGCAGGAAAGCTCACTGGCCCAGTTTGCCCTGCAGAGTGCAGCCTCCCTTCCGGCCATCACACTGGGATTGCCGGCTACCACTAGCACCAGGGTAGGTAGCCAGGTTGTAGATAGCCCCAGAACTGGGCAGAGGGTCCCCGCCAGGCAGGGGAACCCCTTTTGTTTGGGTCTGGGGTTCCTGGGGTAATGCCAGGCGTGCGCTGGTTCCGAGTATTCACAGGCGCTGCCCGTGGGCAGGGTGAGGTCCCCTCCCTGTGCTGTGTCCCAGCGGGTTGCTAACCCACTCCTCCTCCTCTCTGCAGGGAGAGGCAGATCGCCGCCCCCTCTCCAGCCTGGCACACCGGGTGCCCGTGCTGAACGGACCTGTCCTCGCGGGCACGCACTCGCCCATGTTCATACCAGCTGGCTTGGAGCAGCACGAGGCTGGGAGCCCCTTATCCCCTCGGCTCCAGCCCGTCATCATCCTGGAGCCCTCAGTCACCCACACTCCGCTGGTGGCGGGTAAGTGTTGACCTTGGTGACGGGTACAGAGGCTGTGTCAGTGCTGGCAGGGCTCAGCGTGGAGCTTCGCTTGGGGCAGGCAGGTTTTTTGGGGGCCAGGAAAACCCTGTGGCCTTGATTTTAACATTACTCTCCCATGAGCCAGGGCTGAGGGAATGGAAGATGTTGACCCTGGTTCTGGCTAGCCAGCATGTCCTTGCCATGGGTGAGTTCTGCAGGCACCACAGCCTCGACAATGCAGAGAGCGCTGTAGCTTTGGCTCTTCCGTCCAGCTGCCCCTTGCCCTTCCTGAGCTGTGCTGGTGTGGAGCCATTCACCTTTCCTGCAGCCCAGAAGCCCCCCTCCAAGGGGTCGTTCCTGCCTGTTCCTCGGGTCTTGTGCCAACAGATTTCACTATGGACCCTGCATTGAGCTGCGCAGCTCAGATCTGTGCCTCTGGCTGCCTTATTCCCCCAGCCCCTCTGGGTAATCCACTCTAACTGTAGCAGAAGGAGAACTGGCTCCTTTGGGCTGGTTCCTGGCTCCATCTCTACCTGCCCTGTGTTACCAGCAGTGAAGGAAGCTTCTCCCATTGAGGATGAAGCTGAGGGCGGGGCTGAGATGACTGAGGTTTGCTAGATCTTGTCCTCAGACCCCTGTGGGCTGTGTGATGCCAAAGTGATGGGGATAAAAGGAGGGGAGCCAAAAAGGCATAGTGCATCCATCCTACCAGATGCTGGGCTCCAGGGCTGGGCACTGTCATTTTTAGGGCTGCCAGGAGATAGGCTGCATGGGTGCAGACAGCACTGCTGCTCCTTGCCGTGGTGTGGACTGACTGCTCTGCAGGGTGTCACGTCTGCCCAGTGGACAATGCCACCCCTCACCTCTCGTTCCTCTCCCCTCCAGTGCCAGGTCTGGGAACGGTCCCCTTCTCCTTTGCCCCCTCGCTCATCTCTGCAGAGCGCCTGTCGCTCCCAGGCCACCATAAACCGCTGGGCAGGACCCGCTCGGAGCCACTGCCCCAAAATCCCAAGGCCATCCAGCAGCAATTGGTGTACCAGCAGCACCACACCCAGTTCCTGGAGAGACTCAAGCAGCAGACGCATCTGGGCAAGGTAAGTCGTGGAAGCCCAGCCTGGGCACGTAGGAGGCAATGGGAGACAGATGGTAGAAGTGTGCAAGATGTCACTCCTACCTGCTGGGCAGGGAGTACCAGATGTCCAGGGCCAAGCCCTCGCCGGGCACGCGAGATGCTGCCTTGCCCATACTCATAGCAGCAAGCTGAGGGTACCTGCTCAGCTTCCTTGGCACCCTCATCCATCATGCTCCTGCCCTGAGATGCCCTGCCACCCCCCATGACCTTCTTGGCCTGGCCTGTCCCCTGCCACCTCTCTGTGCTCATTTGTGACCCCTCCGGCTGCAGCGCATGGCTAAATCCAGCGAGAAGCCCCGTCTGCGGCAGATCCCGTCCTCGGAGGACATGGAGGCCGAGGGGACACTCCCAGAGGCTGGGGCTGAGAGCAGTGACCCAGCGAGGGCACGCGTGGAGCCCACACGGCCGGGGAGCAGCGTGAAGGAGCCCGAGAGGACGCAGAAGATGATGCAGCCTCAAGAGGAGCTTGTCCTACAGCAGGTACACGAGGGCTGGCAAGGATGGGAGAGCCCTGGGGAAGGGTCCAAGTTGCCAACCTGAAGCAGCCCTTTCCCTGCTGGGCACAAGGAGCCCATGGGCAAAAGGGACAGTGCTTTCCCTGGCTTGCCCCAAGGTGTGTGGAGCTCTCGGGGTGGTTTGAAGCCTTCATAACAGGCTCAGGAGTGGGCTATAAGAGATGGAGTTCCTAGCCCTGTCCCTCTCTCCAGTTGTGGCTTAATTGCTTTGAGCATTAGTCCTGAACAGGCAGCATGCAGAGATCCCTGCCCTGCAATTTGGAACAATTATTCTTCATCCCTTGGTGTCTCCCAGTAGAGGCTTTGCACAAACCCAGCAAAGCTGGTAGGGTCCTGAGCCTGGGAAGAGTCAGATCAGCCCCAGAGAGCCAAGGGGGTGCTGCGGGGGTAAGGACACAGGCACCACGTCTGTGCCTTCCTCCAGCCCGGGGCAGTTCGCTAGGACAGGGACGAGAGTGGCAGCCACCCCTGGTGTCAGCAAGGCTGGGAGGGCATCGTCTCCAGAGTGCTGGGCATCGTCCTCCAAATTGCTGCGCCTTGGAGCCGGGCTGCCCAGCGCTGCGGGGCTGAGCCAGCAGAGAGCAGCAGATGCTGCGTGACATGTCCCAGCTCCTGCAAACCGGCTCTGAGCCCCCCAGTGCGGAGGGGGCTGTCATATCCAGACCCTGGGAGGGTGCACAGTGCCGGCCTCCCTTCCCTATGCCGGGTGATGCTGTTCTCACCGCCCTGGTGCCTTGTTCTGGATGCCGTGCTCACCGCCGCCTCTCTCCATCAGGCCTATATCTGGGATTCCTACCAGCGCGTGCAGCAGCAGCTCCTCAAGCGGCAGCCCTTGGCCGACTCCCCCATGGTCCCCACCATCCATGCGGGGCACAGACCCCTCTCCAGGGCCCAGTCATCTCCTGCCACCGCGACTGTCTCCCTTCCTGCCCAGGACACGGCCTCCAAGACACTCTCCCTGTCTGTGCAGGAGCAGCCAGCCAAGCCGCCCTTCACAACAGGTACAGCCTGGTCCCTGTGTGGGGCTGTCACTGCTGGAGCAGCAGCAGGGACTGGGGACAAGAGCTGGAAGGGAGGTGGCAGTTTAGCATCAGTCCTGGTCACTCCCAGACTCATAAATGCTCGGGAGTGCGCTGGCTGGCTGCAAAAAGAGCAGAGCAAGCCATGACGGTCCCCCTCTCCGTATCTAAGGTGGCTTTTCCAAGCAGGACGTGCCCATCTGGCCCCGCCACTGCCATCCTGGTCCAGTGATGCTGGTAACGTTCAGCTCTGCCTCCAAGGCAGGATTTGCTTCAAGGATGTTGGGACAGAGGTTCCCGTGGTTTGAGGGAGGTGTTTCAGTCAAACCAAATAGTTACGGGTGTTGAGGGTCTCAGCCAGCCCCTGAAAAGGACCTGAATTAGGGTCAGCACCATCAAGGCCTGAGCCTCCAGCCCAGTCTCGGGACAGCAGCTCTCCTTGTGCATTGCAGGGCTGGTTTACGACTCAGTCATGCTCAAACACCAGTGCTCCTGCGGTGACAACAGCAACCACCCAGAGCACGCGGGCAGGATCCAGAGCATCTGGTCCCGTCTGCAGGAGAGAGGGCTGCGCAGCCAGTGCGAGGTGAGCACGGGCGGCAGGGTGGGAGCCGGACGCCTGTCCGGGAGGGGGATGCTGGTACGAGCAGAGCTCATGCTAATGGTGTGGTAGGGTATCCTGCTCCCACCTCCATCTCTTTTTGCTCCCGGATCTTCTCAGTCTGTTTACCACCATTAACCAGAGGGACTTGCCCATAGCTGGCAGAGCCAAGTTGGAGCGTGCTGGTCTGACCATCTCCAGCTTCGAATGACAGCAACAGTCTGCTCTGCTGGAAGATGGGTGCGGGGAGAGGCGTGATCCCTACTGAAACAGAGCGTTTTGCCAACTCTGGGAACGCCATTGTCAGTTCCAGTCTGTTAGAAACCTTGCCCTGGTCTAGCTGGGCTGACTGGTCCATACAAAGCTCTGCAGTTGTAGGAAGGTGATGCTGACATTTCCTGCCTGATCCCTGCCTGCAAATGAGGGGGGTTGTTCCCATCCAAACCCAATGCAAGAAGCACCCTGCTCAGCCATGCAGCTGCCTCCCTGGCTGCGGTGACACGAGGTGTGGCTGTACTCGGGCAGCGGGACATGTCCCCTCCACCCTCAGAGGCTGGCGCGCTTGGGTGGGAGAGACTGCATCCCCCACCTGGAGCAACTTGGTCACAACCTCCATCTGCCGCAGTGCCTGCGGGGACGGAAGGCCACCCTGGAGGAGCTGCAATGTGTCCATACTGAGCGCCACGTCTTCCTCTATGGCACCAATCCCCTCAACCGCCTGAAACTGGACAACGGGAAGCTGGCAGGTGAGTCCACATCCACACCGCTCCTTCGGGCAGCCGGACCCTCACCTTCTGCCCATCCCTGCCCGCACATCTGCTCTGGGTCTCGGAGCACCCTTGGAGACCACACCAAGCAGCTTCTCTGGGAGCTGGTCCTAGTTCTGGCCAAGCAGCCAGGCCAAACCTCCCTCCTTGGTACTGCTGTGCCGTTCACCGTCTCCCACCCGTCCCCAGTTTCTCGGCTCTGAAGTCCTCACTGTCCCCTCTCTCTGCAGGCATCCTGTCACAGCGTATGTTTGTCATGCTGCCCTGCGGAGGGGTGGGGGTAAGTGCTCGATATCTGCTCTGGGCGGTTTTGGACAGGGTGGTTCTTTTCATCTGTCCCCAGCAAGGGCCTCCTCATGGTCTTGAGTGGAGAGGGAGCTCCTGAAGTCTTTGGGCTACCAAGGTTGGGTAGCCTCAGGTGGGAGCAATCTATCTGTGGGAAAGATGTCATCAGGATGGTCCTAAGCATCCCACCCTTGAAAGGGGATACTTTATGTCTTCTTACTCTAGTGGGCCCGGGAACCAAAAGTCCCTCAGAGCCATTTCTAAGAGCCTGAGCCGTTAGAAGGGAGCGAGCTGGTGGGACAGCTGGGGGAAGCCGCGAGCCATGGTCTGCGTTGAGGGAGGGGAACAGTGTTGTGGGGACAGCAGCTCGCCACTTCCCTCCGGACACTTCTGTGGCCTCTCCTTTCACAGCTTGCTGCCCTGGTTTCTCTCCATTCATTGCGTTCTCCTCTCTTCCTCTCTCCCCCCCGTCTCTGTCCTTCTCTCTTCTCTTTCAGGAAGGGTCTCACTCCATGCCTTCCTGCTGCCTCTTCTGGTTCTTCTCCTCTCCTTGCCCCCGCTGCTGGGCACCAGCTCTTCTCAGCCCTGTTTGCATCTACTTTCCCCGCTCTGCCTCCCTCTCCCTGCCCTCCTCTCGCCTGTGCCCCGACAGCGGGGGGGCTGGAGCTGCCCTTCTCCGTGGGCAGAGGGGAGCCTTTGAGTTGCACACATGGAGTTGATCAGAAGAGACTTGAGTTTTCCGGCTCTGGCTCGGCCCTTGACGTGATCCTGATCAAACCAAGATGTTTGGTTAAGCAATAAAATAAGATAAAGAAGGTAACGAGCGTTTTCTCAGTCACTCCTTCCAGCCCCCGGGTGCAGGGTGAGATGGTCTGTGCGGAGCTCGGCTGGGGGCTGGGGCTGACAGCAGGCGGAGGAGCTGCCATCCTGACCGGCAGCACCAGGGAGCTGCTGTGGAGCCGGGGAGCTTGCCCCATTGTGTGCGAGGTGGTCTGGCTCCACAGTGCCCAGCCCTTCAGCCTGCATGGGACTTCAACGCCTGGCCACAAGCAGGGTGGCTGGCGGAGAGCGTGGGTCCCGCGTGGCTGAGATCTCCTCCATCGGTGCCTTGTTCCCATCTGACCGATCCCCTTGCTTCCAGGTGGACAGCGATACCATCTGGAATGAGCTGCATTCCTCCAACGCTGCCCGCTGGGCTGCGGGCAGTGTCACCGAGCTGGCCTTCAAGGTGGCCACCAGGGAGCTGAAGGTAGGGTGGCCTCGTGGAGGTCCCAGAGCTGTGCATCGCCCTATGGCCGGGAAAGAGGGGGGCTGGGGGATCTCGCCAGCCGGCACCGGGTGCCCTGTGCTGCTGTGGGCTCCGTCCCTGGCTGTCCCCATGTGGCAGAAACCGCCAGCCGGCGGGTGGAGGGGGTGCGTGACGCTGCAGGCAGCAGCTCTGATTACTTGCCTTTGTTTTGTCCGCAGAACGGCTTTGCTGTGGTGCGGCCACCTGGACACCACGCGGATCCTTCCACTGCCATGTAAGGGCCCCTTCCCAAGCGGCAGGGCTTTCGGCTGGCACCCGGGGAGCCCTAAAAAACAGCTCCTTGGCTCAGAATCACTCCAGACTAACCTTCCCCAGGACCCATCTGTATCCCGACCGCGGGAGAAGGGAGGACGAGCCCACCCTTCGGGGAGCACGTGGGCCAGGAGGGAGGGGTGCTCAGGGAGAGCCCCAGAGCATTAACTGGCTCCGACTCCGTCTTTGCAGGGGATTCTGCTTCTTTAACTCGGTGGCCATTGCCGCCAGGCAGCTGCAGCAGAAAGGGAAACTCAGCAAGATCCTCATTGTGGACTGGGTAAGTCCCCTGGGTCCCCCAGCGCGTCCCTGCTCCTCCCCAGGACATCCCCAGGAGTGGGTGTCTGCACCTTCTCCCAGCTCTGATTTGGAGCTAGACTGGAGAGCAGCGAAACCTCCTCCTTCGGGGACCGGCTGCGTCGTTGGGACTCCCCTGGCGTGTCAGGATGGGGGAGCAGGAGCAGATCCTGGGGATGGGGGACGCAGCCCTGGAGCAGGGGAGGGATCCAGTTGCTTTTAGCTCCGTTAGGCTATTGGGCCACCCTCAAGGCTGAAATAAAAGAGTGCTTTCCCAATCTCTCTCTCTCTCTAGGATGTTCACCATGGCAATGGGACACAGCAGATCTTCTACAGAGACCCCGATGTTCTCTACATCTCTTTGCATCGTCACGATGATGGCAACTTCTTCCCCGGTAGTGGGGCCGCCGACGAGGTAAAAAGCACCAACAGGTTGTGAGGTCTGTGCAGCTCTGCCCGGGGATGGCAGCGCTGGTGGCGAAGGTGACAGCCAGGAGAACGGGGCAGTGCCGGGTTTGAGCGAGGGTGGTTTGATGTCAGTGCCTTAACGAGCTCGTTTCCCATTGATACCTGATCCTGCTTGGCTCACCCAACCGGCTGCAGAGCCGAGGCTTTGTCCCAGCCTGCAGCCAGCACAAGGGGACGGTGACTGATGGCTGCAAGACTCTGGGAAATGCCCGGAAAATGCTGCAGCTTCCGCTGTTCTTCAGCGAGCTTTGCAAAGCCAGCCGGCTCCTGTGGCATGGGGCAGGGGGTCCGGGACACCCAGCCCTGCCTCCCTGGAGCCTGGCAGCGATAGAGCCCGCTCAGGGCACTGCCCCAAGATCTCTGCAGTCCACGTGCAGCCCTTCGCTGCTGTCCTTGCTCTCTCACAGGTTGGTGCTGGCCCTGGTGAGGGATTTAATGTCAACATAGCCTGGACTGGAGGTCTCGACCCCCCCATGGGTGACCCTGAGTATCTGGCTGCTTTCAGGTACCGTTCCTTGCATTTCTGCTCATCTCCTCTTTGCGTCGGTGTCAGGCTGAGCCAGCACTTAACACCTCTTATTTGTTTTTTACCCACACAGGACGGTGGTGATGCCAATTGCACACGAATTCGCCCCCGATGTGGTGCTGGTGTCGGCCGGCTTCGATGCAGCTGATGGCCACCCACCACCCCTGGGTGGCTACAAAGTCTCTGCTAAATGTAAGGAGGTGGAAGCAGCGCTGCTGGCGCGGGGCGGGTTGTTCCCACTGCCCATCCAGGCTGGCACCGTGGCATAGGGGTGGCAGCTCTCCAGGGAGCTGGGGGAGATCTTTGGGGTTGTACTGGCCTGACATTGAGGGCCAGGGCCCCAGCGTTCAGGGCAAGGAGGTTGACAACCGCCCCTCGGACTTCTCGTCCAGGTTTTGGCTACATGACGAAGCAGCTGATGAGCCTGGCTGGCGGAGCCATCGTCCTCGCGCTAGAAGGCGGCCATGATCTTACGGCCATCTGTGATGCGTCTGAGGCTTGCGTGTCGGCCTTGCTGGGCAACGAGGTGAGAGCTGGGGGTCGGTGGCTTGTGTGGGCTGTGGCTGTGGGGCTGAACTGGTGCTGCGAGCCGAGCTCAGGGCACAGCTCCCTCCCCTTGACCCCCGATGTCCTCCTTTGGCAGCTGGACCCTCTCCCAGAAGAAAGCATGAGGCAGAAACCAAACCCCAACGCTGTGCGCTCCTTGGAAACAGTGATCCAGGTCCAGAGTGAGTGTCCCAGGGGCTCAGTTAGTTCACGTGGAAGGGCCAAGTGTGACCCTTTCCTCCCCTCTCCAATAAACCCCATCACCTCCAAGGGGACACACAGCATGAAAGACCCCAGCGAAGGCCTCCATCCTTCTCCTCCTCATGGGAGGGTGATGCCCCACTCACTGCAAGGGCAGCCTGGAGACCTGGGGCACCCCTATCCTGGCACCTCCTGATTTTTGCTTCTCCTGCAGGCAAATACTGGGTGGCCGTGCAGCGCTTTGCCTCCAAGCTGGGCTGCTCCTTCCTGGAGGCGCAGCACCACGAGGCAGAAGAGGTGGAGACGGTCACAGCCTTGGCTTCCCTCTCGGTGGCTGTGATGGTGGAGAAGAGGTGATGCTCTTAGTTGATCCTGGGAGATGTGGGTGCCCCTCGTTCCCTGCGTGCCTGGCTCCGAGCCTTGCTGTCACAGGGGTGGCAGCAGAAAAGGGCCTGATGAGCTTCGGGGAGGTCAGGACAGTGCTGGCTTGAAGCAGGTCTTGGGCTGTGGCAGACAAATTACAACCGTCCTCTCCACCGAGAGTTCTGATACCCAACCCTCACATCCTGGCAGATTCAGCCTCAGTGTTCAGCGTCGGTGGGTGGTGGGATGAGGTCCTGCATCCACATGGTCAGGACCTGGACTGGCTTCTGGGAGACTCAGTGATGGGCTCTTTCCCAAACAGGATGAAAATGAGACCAAATCCTCTTTTCCTCTTTGGAGACTGGAGATGTGGAGGTTTGTCACCTCCTTTCAGCAGGGTCCCCACTTGCCCACCACCTTTTCTCATCCTCACCAGGACTCAGCCAGAGTCTACAAAGGTCTTGGTGGAGCCGGAAGCACTGGGAGGCTGGACTTGCCAGAAGGCCCCTTGATGCTGAGAGGGGTGTGTAGTGTCACACAGGTCTCCTCCTTGTCTCATGTGTCGTATTTCTCCATTTCAGGCCACAAGATGAGCCGATGGAGGAAGAGGAGCCCATGAACCAGTGATGAGCAGTGATGTTCTCTGCTCCCCTGCTTCCAGGACGTGGCTGGACTCTCCCGAGCCCAGCGCTCGCTCTTCACTCCTGGCTTTCTGTTTGCCACGTCATCCTCACTCCCCGAGTCATGGTCCTGAAATGGCATGGACCTTTGGCTGCCGCCTCTGCAGGTCTTCCACAAAGGATGTCCTCCTGCTCGGGACCGATGGAAAACCATATACTCCCTCTGCACGGTGTGGCCTTGCAAACCTAGACCGTGCCTGCAATCAGTCCCCAACCTTTGGGACCTGAAACCCCTCTGGGGACATGTGTGAGAGGCCTCCACCCCGCTGGCTGCAGTGGCAGCCAGGCGCAGACCTGCCCTTCTCCTGGGATCTTCCTCACCCTTGGGGAAGGGGGTGGGCGTTGGGATGGATGTTGTGGCCGTGCTGTGGGTGGTCAGAGCCACCTTCGGGACTGCACCCAGAGCTCCTCTCCGGACAGGCAGCAACACCTTTGAGAAGCAGCTCTGTGTTTTGCTCGGGAGGGACGGGCGCTCTGTGTCTTCTCGCAAAGGCTTCCTGGCTCCCCTTCCGCTGGTGGGGCACAGGGCGGGAGCGAGCGAGACGGTGATGTGGGGTGTGACCTCGTTGTGCACAAGAAGGGTTTGGACAGCTGTGGATGATGCGCCCGTGGCCTTGCAGTTGGGGAAGAGCAAGGGCTGGGGTGGCTGCAGTGCCCAGGATTGCACCCGTGGGACATGCTAACCACTAACCAGAGCGGGATCCCTCTGGTGCCGGGGCTCTGATTTGCACTATGTACAATTGACGTGCGCTAATGTGAACCTGACGTACTCTTCTTTCCATGGGAATTTTGGGAACAAACACCTCTTCGTGTGGACGTTACCAAGGTGCCTTGAGCCCTTTTGAGAACCCGCTGACCTGAAGATCTGTACCGACATAGACCCCTGTGATCCCTAAATCGGGGGCAGCCCCACTGTCTTCCAGTCCCCCCCCTGAGCCCACCCTCCCTGCAGCAGCACCCCCAGCCCAGCACCCCGCTGGGTCCTCTTCTCCAGCTGAGATCAAGTCCTGTCACCCTCTGCTTGGGCTCAGCGCCCCCAGGAATGC